TAATGGCTACCATAAAGGCAAGAGCACGACGGAGCATGAGGGAGTCCTGAGTGGAATTGCCTGTTTGGGGGGATTCCAGCAAACGCCTTCAGAGGCGAAATTTGATCTTGGTCTTAAAGAACTGATAGAAGTTTTCTAAGTAAAGGCAAGGCCATGTGCAAAGGCACAGGAAAGTGAATGCACATGAAATACTTGGGGAATTGTTCCGCTCAGTGAGCTTGAGTGGAGAGGGGGTGTGGGGCTTCAAGATGGAGAGCAGGGCCTCCACTGGCCCACTAAGGAGTTTACCATATGCCAGAGTAAATAACAGGAAATGAATGGGGGTTCTCAAATATAGGAACCAGGATTAGACAGCTGAGTGGCAAGAAAAGGACCACCACGACCCCTAATAGCTGGTATTTACAAGGCTTTCTCTCGTCATGACCTGACAAGAAAGCAGGTGATGTTACAAGGCTCTTCTCCAACATGTAAACTGTGTAATAACTTTTTTAAAAATAATGACTTAAATATGATGGTGCATTTGAACAGAAATGCTAAACATGGCTAATTATTCAGAGAATCACTCAGAAAAAAAGAGGCAAGACTCAAAAGAGAGTTTAGGCGCATCTCATCCTGGAGCAAACCACTTCCAATTACTTGGGAACCAATCTGGAGATCCTAAGGCTTCCCAGGAAGGTCAAAGTCACTCCTAGGACTTGGTAGGAAAAAGACGAGTGCCAGAAGCTGCGACCTTTTCTTCCAGAAAATCAGGATGTTCAAAACCTAACATTACTCTTTCCCTACAATCTATCCACTTGATTCTTGCATGCAATATCATTAACTTGCATTTTAAGGAAGGCCTGGCATCTCCTGACTTCTCTACAAAAATCCAGTCTCCCAATCAATAGTTTTAAACCTTGCTGCCAAAGAGGTGGTTCTGTCCTCCCTCTGATCCCTATCCTCAGGCTTTTCTTAGTACTCACTGTATTTTCAAAATTTCTCACTGCTTTGCTCTTCCACTCCAGAGAGTCCAAAAAAAAAAAATTGCCAATTGGTTCATTATCCTTTCAAATCCCTATTTACTTCTTGCTGTGTCTTCAACTTTTCTGAGGAAGAAAAGCAGGGGCAGAACAGAGGTGCAAGAGCAGAGAGCTTGGCTGAGAGAGACGCAGATGCTAAACAGTGCATTGCGCATACTAGCTTCTGCCTCTGAGCCCCTGAGCGCCCACACAGCTCTGCCCTCTGGGATCCCAGGATGCTTCTGTGTTCCTGCCTCTCCTCCGACATCCTCTTGCACTGGCTTACTTTTTCCTGTGTGTCCTCCCGTTCACTTCATGTTCCAGGCCCCTAAAACCCACACTAGCCTCACCCCACAGGAAACACACGCCTCAAGCCCTTAATCGTGCCCCAGGGGCCAAAGGCTTCCGCTCTCAGGTTTCTGGAAAGCAGCCCTCCACCCTCCCTCTGCAGTTCTCTCCTGACTTGGCTACTTGGTTTCCCTTCTGCATTTCAAGCTTCAAAACAGAGAGGACGGTTTTTAGATTCCACCTTATTTTTGTTCTCCTGCTTGTTCCCAACAGACCACTGATAATACATCAGCAAGGCCTTTTATGTGGTTAGCAAGCAAACAATGGCTAAAATGACCGTGGGTTTGAGGAATCCAAGGAAAATGGAAACACAAGAATGTCAAACATGTCTTGTTCCTTGGGAGGATTCAGCTCACCCTTAGTGTATGTGGATAAACACGCTCTTCATGTTGGGCAGAGATATCCAAATATGGAAACTGATTGCTACCATATCTGTGAAAAGCAGAGACACTGTTGTCCTGGTTTCCTCAGACAAATTTTCAAGACAGAAGGGATGTTCTAGAAAGCTCAGATTCAAACCGTGAAAAGCAACATTTATCATCCTGTTCCTCCATCTTTTTCCATCCTACAAAGGCCAAACTGGATAATATGCATTATTTAATGACTTAAAGCCTCTCGAGGTTCCATTTGGCTTTACTATCCCACTTAAGGAGCACAGTCACTGTCAGAGGTCAAAGCTCATTAGTGCTGGAACCTAAAGCCAATGCCCTTGAGATAGAAAATGAAGCTCTAGACAAGGCCTTTCTGGCTCTGGCTGATTCATTATGATTTCTGGGTTCTAGGCAGGAAGGTCTCACAAACTCCAGATCATACTTTCTGTGAAAAGAAACCTGGCCTGTGAATGGGATCCAAGGAATGCATAAGTGAAACTCGGCCCATGCAGAAGAAGGTCCAATACTCATAAATTCAGACAAACCTGTTGTATCTGAGAATGACCATGCCTCCTTAAGAGCTGAAATGATTGCAAGGCTGGAGAAGGTGACGTAAGAGAACTGTGGAAGAATTCTAGAGATGAGCCCAACCTTTTCTCAGATCCACGGACTGTAACAATTAGAGATTATTTACTCCAGTTGCCTCATTATACAAATGAAAGAGCAACTCTGAGAGGGAAAATGAGTGTTAAAAAACTCAATTGCTAGCTGGTGTAGTGGCACATCTGTAGTCCTAGCTACTCGGGAAACTAAGATAGGAGGATCACTTGAGCCCAGGAGTTTGGGGCAGCAGTGACCTGTGATCAAGCCACTGCACCCTAGCCTTGGCAACAGATCAAAACCCTGTCTCTAAAAAAAGTTTTTTTAAAAAAATAATAAAAACCCCATTGTGGCCAGGCATGGTGGCACACATCTGTAATCCCAGCACTTTGGCGGGCGCATCTCTTGAGGTCAGGTGTTCAAGACCAGCCTGGCCAACATGGTGACATGTATTTCTCTACTAAACATACAAAAATTATCCAGACATGGTGGCAGGCGCTTGCGATCCCAGCTACTCGGGAGGCTGAGGCAGGAGAATCACTTGAACCCGGGAGGCAAAGGTAGCAGTGCGCCAAGATTATGGCACTGCACTCCAGCCTGGGCCCTTGGCTGCAGTGCAAGAAACAAACAAACAAAAACCCATTGCTCGTAGAAATTCTGAAATTAAAATCCAATGGCCCTTCTTCCTTGCCTGCTTCCTCACTATCAGTGACCATGGAGAGGCTCATACCCTTCCAAGGGATCAGTACAAAGACTGAGGAGTCCACAGGGCAGACAGTAGGTAAGAGGCATTGTCCCTCAAAAGCAGGATGAAGGTCAGATTTGCCTCTGGCACTCCACTGGCCACATTGCATCCTAGTTTCTACAGATCTGCTCCCAGGAGAGCTTAGGTGGTCACATACGTTTGTCTGTACATCTCCTCTCCACTGCTTAAAACACTGTCCTGGCTGGATCAAAGGGACAGAAAGCGCTAGAAGTGACATGGAGTGGAAATTATTGGCATTACACAGAGAAACATTTGAATTCCTCTTATACTAAGCTTGTATCCTTATATCTTATGCCAAAACAGACTCTCTCTCTCTCTCTCACACACACACACACACACACACACACACACACACACTTTTCCTCTGAAGGAAAAGACAGAATGATGTAGAGGAACGCTTCTCAAGCTTCATGTGCATATGAAGCACCCAGCCCAGGGATCTTGTTAAAATGTGTATTCTGATTCAGTAGTTAAAATGAGATCCTGTATTTCTAATGAATTCCCTGGCAATGTCAATGATGCCAGTATAGAAACCACACTCTGAGTGGCAAAGGGTAGATGTTACAAAAGCTTAGAATCAAACAAATCCAAGTTTCAATTCTGGTTCTACCATTTAAGACTTTCGTGATTTGGCGCTGGTTTCCTAACTTCACTATGCCTCAATTTAATCATCTATAAAATGGAAATATTAATACCTAAGAAGCACTTGATGATTACATAAATTAATGATGTAACACTGTTAACACAGTGCTTGGCAAATAATAAGGCTTGATAAATGTCAGTTCCTGTCTATCTCTAAGATTCGTGAGGGCAAGGTGATGACTGGCTCACTGCCCAAACCACAATAGCTAGAACATAGTTGGGGCTCAATGGATGTTTGGTGAATGGATGAATGCATGCATGTATACTACACCTAAATAAAATATCAGTATTTATACACTCCCTTGATCCTGTGGCTTTTCTACAAAAAGCAAACAAACAAACAAACAAAACACAAAACATTTAGAACACCAGGACACTCTCACCAGTTACAAACCATAATCTCATAGAATCAAATTCAACATTAACCATCACGTTTAACCACTGAGAGACGTATAATTTGTGGTGGCTATATATACTTGAGAAAATGTCTAAACTGTAAATAAATAAAGACAACATTAGTCTGGAATCTGTATGTCATAAAGATAAATTACTGCCTTGCTTATTTATGGGCTGTCTGAATGCAGATGTTATGAAAAACTTAATTCTAAAACAAAGTTCATTTCCAAACCACACATAGAACTGCAAAGAGAGACAAAACAAACCATGGGAAGCGAGACCACATTTAAAAGGGCCATTGGGGCAGGAGTACATTCTCTCATAAATGCACACACTTGCTCAGGAAAAAATAGAAGCAAAAGAATTCTTAACAAATGGCAGAGCTTAATCTTTTAAATCAAAGGCAGACAAGAGAATTCATCCCAAATTTTTCAACAATCTAAGATTATCTTCAGGCCTCTTGTAAAGTAAGTGGCATAATCTGAACAGATCCCATTTCCAGGGAGGCACTATGTAAGGTATGTAGCAAAAGAGAATACGATTGCCACCTACAGACAGAAGTGGCACTCTCTTTGCAAGAGATGGCCAATCATATTTTAATGTGGAAAAAAAAAAAAAAACCCAAAAAACTCAACCAAGTCATCTCCCTCGAACCTCTTCCAAACCACCACACCACATTACTTCATTTAGAATTACTTTCAAGTCATACAATCATCTCTAGGCATTCTGCCTCTTCATTATCATCATCCTATTTCTAATTTCCCAGAAACACTGTGCCATTCAACTATCTACTTATACGCTCTTTGAGAGCCAAAGAGAATGCAAGCCAACGAATTCAAGCACACAAAAGCATCGGGGTGGAACTATAAATCTGCTTACCTGATATGAATGGGACCACCCGGAATATATCTGACAATCTGCTGTTAACTGGTTCATATGGGGAATCCTCCAGCAGATCATTTCCTAAAAACAACAGAAAGACTGGGCTCAGATATGAAAATCATATATTTCAAGCAGGTTTTTGCTGCTGAATCTGAATTCTAATTATGTTATGATTGTGTAACAAAAAGATGCTGAAACTTTGAAAGATTTCAAATGCATCTCTTTCTCTATGGTTATTTCTTTTCATTCCCTCTGCTTTTGTTGTCCTTGTTCTCCCCAGAGTGCCATGAAAACATTGGAGAACAACCCAGCCCGATCTTGCCAGAAAACTCTCCCCACTCTTTGCAAAGGAATAGAAATCAGAGAGGAAAGCTGGAGCCGATGACGTCACGAGCCCTGCTTGCCTCCAGGAGCCAATGGAAGAAAGGTGACCCAGGAAAGACCCACATTTCTGCTTGCTCCCAAAACTTGGCATACAGTTGGAAGGCAGGTACCATGGCTATTAAACAGCCCATCTCTGAAACAGATTTTCATTAATAGACTCTGGAGGAAGTGGCTGCTGACAGGTCAAATCTGTGTAATACATATCTCCCGTGTGAGTCTCAGTCGAGAATGAACACACAAGGTGTTTGTGTTAGGTTTACAAACATAAGCCCCCTCTGGCTTACAAGGACCAAAACATTCCCATTGGACTGGATGGTTGTGACAAGTGGTTCTTTCTCTCCCTGAGCTACTTCTGTGATAACCGAGGTTGAACCACACCAGCTGGTTCAAGACTCAGCTAATGTAAGATGACAAACGGTTTTTCACACATCTGCCTTTGATCACGTTTGGTGGGGAGGGTGAAGATAGAATGGATTTTCCTGGACCTTTTACAATACTTTATCTCAGGTCAGAGCAGACTAAAGGGAACAAGACCGGGGGAAAGTCCAGACCAGCTGCAGGGCAAGCCCTCCTATTATTATTCTGAGGCCACCGAAAGCTCCAGGCTGGCTCTCCTTGGAAGGAAGTTGTGGGTTCCTTGGGGTCCTTGAGTGGGATCCTCCTCCTATGCTCTGACCAGGTTTCAGAGAGGTCAGTGGGGTCCCAGGGGGGCCCCCCGCCGCGCCCCCGACCTCCTCATGGGTTTTCCAACAACCAGGCTCAACAATGCTGGTCAGCCCAGCAAACACCAGCTGCCGTTGTCCCTGGGGGCCAATGAAAGGTCCTCATTCCGCAGCTGGGGAGAAGTGAGTGGAGGATGAGATCAGCTGGCCGGGGGACGGAGGGCCCGCCTGCCTTCGGGGAGGGACGCAGGGTGGTGTGGGGAGGTTCCGGGCGTACCCTGCAGGCTCTGGTACATGCTCCAGTAAATGCGCAGACAGTTTTTCTCCTTCTTCATACCCCGCTTGCAGCGGCAGTTGTAGAGCGACTTCTGCTTCAGGGCCTCCATGGCGCTGCGGCACTCATCCTTGGCCTCAAGGCCGGATGCCAGGCTGAAGTTGGTCTCCTTGCCCGCCACACACTGCCTCAGCGTGCGGTACTTGGTGCTGCAGCTCTGCTCCTTCAGGCACTGATCACTGGCTTTCACGCAGTCCAGGCGGTCTCCGCCGCTCACTTTGGCCGACAGGAGCAAGTCTGCGGGGTAGAGGGGAGGGAGCCTGAGTGCGGCGGGCGGGGACCCGGGACGCCCCTGATCCGGGCGAGGGCGCGCGCCCAGGTCAGGGATGCTTGACCAGCCTTCGGGGGCGCCCTGCTCAGGGATCGAGCGGGTCCACCTCTCGACCATCCGGGAGTCCATTTTCCCGCCCCCAGGAACTCCAGCTCCTCTCCCTTCCGGGCCCGTAGGGAAGGGTGGCGCAGGCTCAGCCCGCGGGCTTTAAGGGTTTGCTCCAGAGCCTGCGCTGCCCACCGTGCACGTCGGCCCTCCGCCCCGCGGCATCCTGGCCTGAGCGACGACCCGGGCTCCTGGGCCACCCCCAGCTCCAGCCACCCGCTCCGCCCGACTAAAACTCAGGGTCTTTCCGAGGAGAAGCGCGGCGGCGGACTGGGCACCGGGCGCGCGCTGGGCGCGGGGCAGGCCAGCCGTGGTCAGCGGTCGGCCGGGCGGAGAGCGCTCAGAAGCTACTCGGGAAAAACTTTTCCAAGTTTTGTCTCCCGGCCCCAGTGCTCCCCAACTCCACCTGCCTGCCGCGGCTCCGCGAGCTGCCGGAGACTCTCTGGGGTTGCAGGGCCCTGGGCTGGAGGGCTCCTTAGTCCCCCGCCAAGCTGGGTCATTAAAAACCACAGGAAATCAAAACCAAGCCCGAAAAGCTTCGGGCAGCGCCGCACCGCCACCGCCTCCCTAACCCGGGGATTCGCGATCCCCTTCCCCAAAACGAAACTTCTTCCTCCCACATCCACCGCACCCGCGCCCCAATTTTGGTGCGGGGGGCGGAGTGGGCTGCTGCAAACGACCCTAGGAAAGACTCAGCGGGTAAGAAAGCCCGCGGCGGGCCTCGACTTACCCAAGAGTGGCAGCGCGAAGTACAGGGTCGCCAGGAACATGGTGCCGGCGCGGGGCTGGTCCCCGCCCCCCCAAAAAAATCCTGAGCCGCCGCTGGGTCTTGCCGAGGGAGCTCAGCATGCAGCGATCCCCGGACAGCTGTGCTGCTCTGGCCGCCCAAAGTTCAGCTCCATCCAGTGAAAGAGGAAACTCCGGGTCTGGCAGCCGCCACCGCCGCTGGCGACTCAGCTCCGGGCTGGCGAGGGCGGGAGGCGGTTCCGCTTTTAGGGGTTCAGGTCCGACCCAACCTGGAAGGGAGGGCGCACTTTGAGATGAGAGCGGAGAGCGCAGGAGACTCCCCCCACAGCCCCTCTCCCCTCCCCCGTTCCCGCCTTTGGAGACTTTCCAACGCCAGGGTGAAGACCCACCCCCACCCGGGTCGGGGTGCATGTGCGTGTATTCCAGGGACCGCTGACACGGGAATGGGGGTGAGGGCTGGAGAGGTCTGAAGAGGGTTCCTAAAGTCCAAGGGGGTGTCTGTTGGGTTCAATCCGAGAGGCTGAACACGAGCAAATAAATAAATAAACGGTACTTTCCGAGCGCCGGGAGCGGAGCCGGCCGCTGCCTGGAATACAAACCCTCGGTGGCGGCGGCGGCAGCTCCCCAGCCAGCCCTGGCGCCGAAAGAGCCCCTTCTCCCGATGAGTTGGCCTCCCCCTCCTCCGTCAGCCACCGAGCTCCCTCAGCCGCCGGCCCTCCCCACTCAGATCGCCAATCCCTAGCCCCTGTCGCCGCCCTCCCTCTCCCCGGGACTCGTCTCCCTCCAGAGGCCGCCAAGCCATGGGGAACCGATGTTCCGACTGGGGCTGAAACCCAGTTCTTGCGCCCCTACCCACCGCGTGTCCTCGGCTCCCTCCTGAGTGTCCGCACCTCTCACACCCTCGCCCGGTGCCCGGACTCGGGCGCTTCCGCACCCCCGCCCAGGGCGAGCGCGCTGGCCCGCAGTCCCCGCGCTCCCCGGCAGGTGCAGCCCGGCGCCACAAGCGCCCCCCGGGCCCCAAAGTTGGGAGACGCCTGCAAAACGGAAAGAGGTGGCCGGGGGAAGGAGGAAGAAGGAGTGGGGAAGAGGGACAGGAAGCGGCAATGAGTTCCCAAACAGAACGAAAAAAGCTCCAAATGCCACCAACCTGGACTCAATCGACCGCGTCCAGCTGCGGCGAGGAGCCAGTTTATTTACTTATTTATTCTTTCGGGGGGAATGGTGTCCCCGCCCCCTCCTTCCCTTTCCGGGCTCACTTTATTTGCCCTAGGAAAAAAAAAAAAAGAAAGAAAAAAAAATAGATGCGGCAATCTTCTAGAGCTCCAAGGGCCGAGTTGGACCAGGACGATTTCCGAGCAGAGCCCTCGGCTCGGATGCTCATTAGGGATGTTAGTGGTTATTGGAAGTGGCGCGGGGAATGGCGTGTTCCGAGGCCAGATTTCTTCTGGCCAGCGGACCCTCGGCCTGCTCCTGCTCCCGCTGCCCCGCAGCTCCAGCCCCCTCCTAAGCTCGCCCTCCAGGCAGCCGCAGCTGCACACGCTCGCTTGCGGTGA